GTGCTAAGCCACCAAGCCTAAACTTTCAACTCTACAGACTCAAGCCAAGCTATGAAGTCGAAGCCGTCAACACAAATCTCAAAAGACTCGAAACCCTGCACAACCTGAAGCACGCATCCTAAATCCCTAAATTCCAGGACTCATGCTGTAGGATACCTATTTTGGGGGCACCCACCCCTATAAGCACACCCTGAAAATCTATGTAATAAAAACAAATTCAAAACCCTATTAAGCATCCCCCTAAAACATCCTTCTAAGAGCCTGTAACAACTCTGCAAGGGCCCTGGAGACGAGCTAGGCCCGACCTGCGCAAGCAGGCTCGGCCCATCGATGTCTGTCTCTGCCGGCGGCTGCAGTCCTTCCCGCGGCAAGGCTACGAAAAGACTCGATGCTCAGAGATGTTGGGGATTACGCTTTTCTTTGGGTTTACTGTAGGAGTCTTGTAAGGGCTGGAGAAGGGTTACTGTGAGGAGTCAAGAGGTGCTATTATATATGGGGTTTAGGGGCTCGGGGGAGTCAGGACTTAGACTCACCGTTCTGCTTAGGCCGCAGAGCATCTTAAATGAAGCTGGGGGGAGATTTCATCTCTTGAAGGCTTAAGGCCGCGGTTTGAGACACTGTTTGTGTAGTAATCCTGGCAGTGTCCCTTCGCAGGCCTCAGAACCGTCTTTACGGAAACTCTACAGCAACTTTCGAGCCCTAGATTCCAGAACCACGGCCGATGTGGACCAAGAGAAGCGGCTCGCTCCGGTGGAGAAGAACCGAAACAACCTATGAAATTTTCGGGTTAGGGCGTCTAGGGCTTAGGTCCAGGGTTTGTACGCAAGGCCTACAATACTTTTGGGCATGATGGGGTTTACCTTTGAGCTTACGTTCGAGTTCAAAGCTTAGGATTCAGGGTGCAACGAAACTCATGTTTGAGGGCCTACAGGAACCCTGAAACCCGGGACCCTAAACCAAGTCGAACCCCCATAAGCCTATAGCCCTAAATCTCAAATCCTAAACCCTTTGGGTACTGACTGTTTGGGCCTTGAAAGCAGGCGTTTGATTGGCCTCCCCCCACCCAAAACCCTCAACCCTGAACCCTAAACCCTCCACCCTGAACCCTAAACCATAAATCCTAAACCCTCCACCCTGAACCCTCCAACTTGCCCCAGTGGACTGGGGGCCGCACCCAAACAGAAGAGTAGTACGAGCCTCCGGTGGCTGCTACTTAGGACTCAGTGCTTGGAGGATCGTGGGTGGACATAGCAAGTAAGGTGCACAGTAAAAGTGCCCAAATTCAGGTCATATGAACTTCTGAGTGCAGTTACCCTACTTACTGAGTCCCCTGACCTTTTTAAGTAACTATAGGACTATACACAAGCTTCAGGTAACTACACTTGTATACCCATTTATAGCCCCAGATAAACAGGTGACTTTACCTGTACTGACCTATAGCCCGAATCATACAACACGTTTCGAACCTCACTTACTCAGTCCCATGGCCCTCCGGGTAGGATGTGGGCGAGTTGCAGCTCTGCGGCCCGTGACACCAAGATTCCAAACAATCAACCCCAATCCCCCAAAGTATGAAGCCTGCTGCGCAAAACCAAAAAAAGCAATCGCACACCGCAAAAACGAAAGCATATCGGAGCCTGACCCCAAAACCATTCATCCGAAGGTCTTTAACCCACAGAGCCCTGAAACCAGGCCTATATATCTCCATCCTGAACTCCAACAAATCCTGAACTTAGTTCCAGGCGTGGCCACATGCGCAGCGTAGACGCCCGTGTGCAACACCACGAAGGCGGCACAACTGCAAAAACGCTTTTACTATAGGGGCCTATTAGTAACTGGAATAGAGTTTTGGAATAGGTCGTACTAAAATCAAAATGAGGAACCCCAAAAATTGCATAAGTGTTTATTAAGGCTGCTGTATTAGGCTTCCGGGAGACATCCGGGTTGCACGGGTTGAAGGTTTCAGGGTTGAAAAAACATGCGGACGGCCAACCCCTGGACTGTCAACCATAAACCTCTCTATAGTCCTACACTCTAGTCGTAAACCCCTATAGCTTTGCGGACGTTCGGGAGCGCAAGGGTTCGAGCTTGTCTTGGCCTTTGCCGCGTTCTTCTGTAATAAACAGGCTTTGGGTTCAGGGGTTGCGGACGAGGGTTTCGGGCTTTTGCACAATAGCCGGACGTAGGGCTTTGAGGTTTAGAGCTCTTGGAGGTCCCATATAGGGTTCAGGGCTTATAGGGTTTAGGGTATATCTGCTGTGGCTGATCACCACGAGCCCGACTTACTAAATTGTCTCAAACCCCAATTCTCTAAACCCGACAAGCCCAAATCCAAGAACCGGGGCCGAATACCTTGAACCCAAAAGCCACACCTAGACCCCCCAACCTATCCTTCCTGCAAGTTGATGAACCCCTGTTGCCCTCTTGGCAAGGAGTACGAAAGCCCTTTGAAGGGCACTTATTGGAGGACCATGGTAAGAACCCTTCTATAGAAGCTCTCCGAACCTCTACACAAGCCTGCACCTCACAACCTTGCTACCAAACCATTTCAAAAGGGGGCAGGAATACATCGTACCAGATCCACTTATAATCCCACCTATACACATATTGTACTTTGTTCTACTGAAGCACGGTTCCAGTGTTTCAGGCACCTATTTTCTTGTCTCTTGTAGGGGCCTTATCATTGGAATAGGGGTTGGGGGAATATTCTACTATAACTATAGTAAGGAACCAGCAAACCCCCATTCTATGTACAAAGGCCCCTACATTCTTCGCTGTCACGAGCCTCATCTTCGCGCGGAGAGTCATGATGCCACAACGGCCTCCTGGCAGTGCCTGAGGCTGACTTCTTCTTCAGGATGGTCCTTTAAGGGCTCTTCGAGGGCTGCTGCGAGGGCTTCCTTTAAGGGATCCTTTCAGGGCTTCCTTTAAGGGATCCGCTAAGCATTCCTCAAGGGTTTGAAATTTTGGGGTTTCGTAGTTCAAGAAGGAAACCAGGCGAACTCTATACCTCACAGATCCTTACGTCAAATTCCTTCACAAGATCCCTGTAAGACCCTAGCAAAGCCATCTGAAACCCTTGGACGAAGCTTGCATGGCCCTGTAGCAGCGACAAGAAAATAAAGCAAGCCGTGAATTAGAAATAACAGCCCGCGATTCCAAAAGCCCCAGCCGCTAGACCGCAAAGTCCTCCCTGGAGGCAGCTCAGAGCTCGAATGTGGGTGGGCGGGGGGTCTGACGCAGGGGTCGGTAAAATTAATTAGCAATGCTACTTTGGGCTCCTTATGTACTGTAATCGTGCTATCATATACACGAAACAATTGCTCAAACCAGAAAACGCTCTGGTATCATCTTAACTCGATTGCGCGAGTTCAGCCAAGATACAGACCCTAAATCCTAAGTCCTTAAACCCTAAACCCTCAAAGCAGACTTTGTGGCCTCAGCTGGACCATGGACACTCTCCGCGCCATGACCAGAGCGAGGAGGCCGGGAGCTTAAGCCCTAGGGGTTATGAAAGGATATAGGGATTGGGGTTCAGGGTTGAGGGTGCGTAGGTATTCGGGATTACGGTTCTGCTTTTTTGTGGGGCAAAAGAATCATTTCAGGCTTGTGGGTTCGGGGCGCTTGATATACCCTCAGGTGGCTCCACTAAGCTATCGTTTCGAGAGGTTGTACACTACGCTATGATTGAAACGGTCCTTATTATTTCGTAGGGTGTGGGGCTGCATGTGGAGCTAAGGGTCTCCGTAGTCCTTCATGGGAGCCTGGAGCATGGTTGGGAGCATCCGATGGAAACATGACACCCTAAGCCAACATCCCCTCCCACACTCCCTCGCTGGCTCCCTCCCTCCCTCTCTCACTCTCTCTTCTGTCTTCTCAGTTCTGTCATCTGTCTTCCTCTTCTCTCTCTGTCTCTCCGTCGCTCTCTCTCTCTCTCTCTCTCTCTTTCCGTCCCTCCTCTATGACCCAGCTGCCTCTTAAACCCGAAACCCAAAGTGAGAGGACCCACTGGTTCAACTTGCAGGGCCGGGGGGCGGAATGGTCCGAGAGGTTTCAGGGTTTGGGGGTTCCGGGTGTAACTCTTCAAGGATTTATTTGGGGGATCAACTCCTCGCTTGAAGGGAACAATCATCGGGTTCAGAGCAAAGAGAGTCAATTGGGGCTCCGGTTTCGAATGCCTGCCTAAGTCCTATTTGTGTTTCTGATGCGCCCTTTCCTCTCCTGCAACAGAAGCATGGGGCTTGCGGTTTAGGGAGTGTGGTTGAAGGGCACCAGAAAATGCTGGGGCCGACTGAGCATTTTCCGCATGCACTATGGCAAAAGTTGTGCTTTCATGTCACGGCTGCATTCTGCAGTCTGCTTTGGAAAGCTCACGGTGAGACGACGAAACTTCACCCTTTGTTGTGTAGAGTTTGCGGTTATTGTTGCTTGCTTCCGTTGAGGCCTCCAGCTCGCATTGCGAGCATCCTTGCAGCTTATTAGATGGGTGGTTGTCAGAATTATGGTCCCTTTTTGGGTACCCTGAATATGAGGTGCCGTATTATAATAAGGACCCAAAAAGGGACCCTAATTTTTGACAACTACCCAGATCTTTTCCAGCCCTTCGAGAAACATGGCATGGAATTAATTGCGCACAGCGACCTCGAGACTTTCGGGTGGTTATAATATAGGGGGCCTCAATATCATTACCAAAACTGTTTTGGGGTTCCTGATTACAAGTCTAGTATAATGGGCCCCGAAACCCAGTTCTAATTAATACAGGCCTCTATATGGGAGTTTCCGAAAATATGGTTCCCTAATTATATAGCACCCTAAAGAAGGATCCCCAAACAAGGTACCTCTAATCTTCGGAAAGTCCCCTATATCATGGATGGCCATTCTCCAGAAGTTGTGACTCTACTGAACTTAGAACCCTAGCAAAAATTATACTTTTAGCTGTTTCTTAGGGATTACAAATAGTTTCTAAGTACGCCTAAGGTGACTCCCTCTCCTCCTTCAGATCAGGGTCGGCTTGCTGGTGCCTGGCGTCGTGGACCACTGGAGGGCCCGAGTAAGGTTATAAGCACCTTTACTGAATTGCGGCTACGAAGAACTATAAGTATAGAGGAAGGTTATAAGCACCTCTAACTGTGGCTACAGCTTAGGTATAGCTATAGTTTAACCCCAGCGACTGTATTTATGACCCTACTTACTAAGTCCCATGATCCTTCAACTGGAGGGTGCAGGTCACCGGGGATCAAAATGGAGGATCCGGGACCTCGGGGTTCTTGGAGCTGCAGTTGGGCAAATGTTTAGGCTTAGGGGTTTTGGGGCTCAGGATTTAGGGTTTGCGGTTTAGGGCTCGAGTACGAGGGCCAGCCAACTGTTTTAGCAGCAGAAGCGAAAGCGAATAAGATCTAACTTGGTACACTTCTCGATTTAAAAAACGTCTTCTGTACGTGCCTGACTGTCTTCCTTGCTGCAGGGGCCATGCACCTGCGGAGTCAAGCGTGTCATCCTTGCAGCAGGGGCAGGGACATACACATCTGCGCTCCCCCTTTTGGCGTTCGCCAAAACACCACCAAACCCCAACAACCCAACCACACTTAAGCAGCTGAAGTCCAAAGGGCCCTCGGAAAAGGGTGGAGAGAAGTCCAAGTGGAGGAGTGCAAAGGAGTGTAGCCCAAGTAAGGCTCAAGACGCTCCTCAGTTTCTGAGGAAAAGGACTGTGGTTGCACAACAAACGGCGCAAGGCTTCACAGTGCTTGCAAAAGATGGGACATGTAATCCCCTGCACGGTTTTGCAGAAGCACGGCTCTTCACCAATCTGCAAGCTACACAACCTGAGAACCTGACCCAAACCGGACTTACAACCGGAAGCTAAGAAAATCGTCAAAAATCCAAAGATGAGCCGATACTGTACTCCAAGGGTCAGAAAGGATTAGCATGTCTCAAGCAGATATCCGCGAGACTGGCACGCCTAACAAACTAAGACCCACAAGCCACACCTTTAAGGACGTATGACAAAACGACCCCTAAAAACCACGCCTAGAGCACCTTACTTCAATCCACCTCAGGGACTCCATCCTGGTGCATGCGCTCGAGGCGAAAGCCCTCGTTCGTGTAAAAGATATGTTGTTGAGCATCTGACAACTGTTCAAGTGGCACTTCAATGCCATTCCTAATCAGAAACGCTGCAGCTGAAGCGATAGCATGATTTATTTCTTCATCAGCCTCTTCAATCTCACTGTCAGTCGCAAGCGGAGGAAATCTTGTTGATCTTAAGACCGCAACGTCATCAACATACCTCACCACAGCATCAGAGGAGCTAGCAGCCTCATTGGTACCTGCAGCCCAGGGTGTTAGAGTTGGCAAGTCAGGATAGAGACCTGCCTCACGCATCTCTTCATACTGGCGGTACAGCTGTTCGGGTCCAGGGACTACATCGATTCCATGCCTATTGATCTGGTCACGGTGGGGGTAAGTAGGGTCATACCTAGCCCTATACTCAGCAGCAGGAACTATCCCAACCCCTTGAACCCAGTGCGGAGGAGTTCCAGATGACGAGCTGGAGTCTGATCTCGTTGCCATATACAGCTCGAAATCTCGCCGCGCTCCGCGGTCATAATACTCAGCTGACCGACCAGACTGTATCGAAGAAGACTCTGCATCACTACGCGGGGATTGAGGTTCCGGCTCGTAGGGAAGGGCCTCAGGAACAACTACTACAGGATGATTTCTCGGGGCCTCGGGTGGAAGCTCGAGTGCGACAGTTCCTTGCATGTCAACAACCAGGCTGCTTCTTAACACGCGATCAATGAAGTTTTCCCAGCTATTAGGGTCCCCAAGATCAAAAAAGTTAGGAATTTCAATCCGGTTGGTGTTCCTTCGCAGCGGGGGAGGTTCAACCGTGGGGCTACGTTGCTCTGGTGCTCCAGGCAGGAGGGCCCACGGAGAAAACTGCACGTCTGGGCCTGCACCAGTGCTAACTCGCCTTGGCCTGGCACCTCTGCCACGGCAACGCAGTCCATCATCGTAGTCAGCAATGACTATAGGCTGCGGGATTTGCTCGGAAAGCGGAATGGGTTCAAGCTCTGGCTGCTCAAGGCCATCTTCGACTGGCTCAGTGCGTCGTGTGCTAAAGAACCTTCCCACAGCACAAAGCAGAAAAATCCCTATTGCAACCACAAGAACCGGAACTATTGAAAGCCACCAGCTGCTCCAGTCATCCTGCGTCGATCCTTCAACTCCTCCCTTGCCCTGAGCCTGAACAGGCAGCGAACCGACAACAAGCAGCGCCAACGCCTGCCTCAAAAGGTTTAGTTTCGCAACAGGGGCCTTAACCTTTGGCACATCGTACCCGCACAAAAGCAAGAGGTCTCTGACACGAGTCCAAGGCAGCACTTTCGTGGCAATATCTGCCAGCATGTGTTCTCCTTTTAAGTGCGACAGGTGCCACTTTCCAGACTGGAGCCTTTCCCGGAGGGCTTGAGACCGAACCCGCAGGTGGCGCGTGCGCCAATTGCCACTTTCAAAAGAAGCGATTGAGATGGATGCAAGGTTATCGCAGAAAGCCTGACACGCTGGAAACTGCTGAACCTCTGGGTGAAGCTCATGCACCAGCCCTTCAAGGGACTCCGTCAACGCTACACCCTCAAGAACCCCTAACAGCTCACACTCAGCAGTAGAGAGAGCTGTGAAGGGCTGCTTACCTGCACCCCAGAAGACTAGATTGCGACCGACCTGAACCAGGCCAGCTTCAAAGCTTCTGTCACCAGCTGGAGCGAAACTAGCATCAGTGAAAGATTCAAGCAGGTAAGGAAGAGCCGTGACGCGACGCTCATTATGCATGCCATGGGGAGGCTGATCTGCGGCGCACTGGTACTTCAGAGCGACCCGCTTGGTGCCTTTAAGATAGCAAAGGATATGCAGACCGAGCTTGAAAGCAAGCTCCGGACATCGACTCACCAATGATGTTACCCTCGCAACCCCATAGACAATGTCTACTCTTGTCTTTCCAGACACCCAAAGAAGCTCACCCGCAAGTGCCTGGGCCTTTCTCAAAGCAACAGGGGAAGAAGGTTCTGGCTCTTCTGGGTCCTGAACCTTTACAAACGGGCACGAAGTCTCTACCAGTGGAGCCCCAAGACTCTCTTCGTAGCGCTTTACAACATCTTCTATATACGATGCTTGGTGGACTAAGAGCGCACGGCCTTGTCTCTCTATTTCAACACCACAAAAGCGCACAGGATTCTTAGAGCTAAGCTGGTCCGGCTCCGAGCACTGCCAGATGTTGCGAATTTCAGCGAGGACTGCGGATGCATACTTTGCAACACCTCCAATCATGAGGTCATCGACATATACGACCAGAAGGCCGACAATGCCTCCTGACGATGCCGTCAGTAGCCATGCATTTGGCTCAGAAACTAGCTGTCTCAGGCTTATTTCAATATCTCCAATCTTAACGCGAACAGTCTTTAACGTGCGGTCCCTAAGTTTCGACCAACATTTAGGAGACCGGTCAAGGCCGTACAGAGCACCTTCAACCAACCACCGCTCAGCTCTGCTGACTACTCCGGCAAGCTGAAAGATACGGGGCGGATCAAGGACGATCAGCTCCTCGGTCCCTGACTCGACCAGACTGCTATCAACACCATCGGACAACTTCGCGTTTAAGAAAGCTGTTTTGACGTCTGTCACCCAGACATCCCAGTCGGGGTGCTGGGATATGAAAGCCAACGACAATCTTAGTGCGCTCGCGTCGATTCCACCGGCATATGTGAGCATACGATGTTCATACGCGGAGCCACCAGCTGAAGGCCCGTGATTTCCACATGCGACGCACCTAGCCTTCCTTAAGCCTGACACCGCCTTGCGAGTGAAGACTCCTTTTGAGGGCAGACGCAGCACCGCACGTCCCTGGGCAAGCCATTCCGCAATTTGTTGTTCCGAAATCGGCCTTAGCACTCCTTTTACACGGAGGCTGTCATATTCGGCACTTATCGCTGGCTTCCACAAAGGAAGTTCGCGTTTGACCTGATCGAGGCTCACAGTTTTCGTTTGCAACGGTGGTGGCTCATGGTCCGGAGCATGGGCATCAGAAGCAGAGGGTGACTCCCCCAGTCCTCTAAGACGAAGCTCTTTGACTGCTAAGGGGCACTTGGACTCCCCCGGGCCCGACAGCACCTGATAATAGGCAAGGAAGTTTTCTATGCCTTCAGAGCGCGCCTCGAGGACCTCACTGACAGCACTACTTGAACCACTAGCTGCCTGCAAGCTGCGAAGATTAACCCTAGCCCTATTAAGCTCTTCGATCCCCTGCAAGACACAGGTCTCTACCGGACCGTCTATCAGTACAAAGGACTCAAGGGGGTCATCGGGAGGGGTCTCATGATCATGGCAAGGGCTTAAGCTCCGAGCCTCAACCTGAAGGGAGGACGCAGCTTCAGCAGCCTCAAACCATAACTTCGACTCAGCACTGCAGGCCGCATCCAAACCATAAGCCTCTTCGCTGAAATCAGACTCCGCCTCAACCTCATCAACCAAGAGCCCGACACCGGAGGAAGACTCTTGGGCAGGAGGAGAAGTATCAATCAACGCACTCAGCTCATGCGGTCGATTTTGATTTTGAGTTGCAAGCCCCTGTTTGGAACAAGAAGGCGAAAGATTACTGTGGGCTCCCCCCCCTGCGTCAGACGCAGGGCAGCAAGAAGGCAACGGAAAGCCGGCGCAAGTCAGCTCCGCCACAACCGGGAGAGGAGCCTTCACACATCGTTTGAGAGTGAACGCAACAAGGAGGTATTTGTCGCCAGACCACGAGTCACCGGCATGAAAGCAGTGCGGTGAGAACGAGAACGAGGCACCAACCGTATCCCACATCATTCCCGGCAGCCACCGACGCGGAGCAACCTCTCGAAATTGCAAAACCCCTGGAGCGGCAGTGCTAGCAAACTCTGAACTAACCTCGATCCAAAGCCCGCCACGCAAATGCTCGGCTCCGCCAACAACATAGTTCAAGCTATCCGGAGCATTGAAGTAGTCA